TAGCCCAGAAATTATACAAAATCAGGGTTGCCAGGTCCCCTAATCGCTCCGATGGGGGGATTTGGGGGGTGTTCCAAGGGTAGGTGGGGATGCCCCACTCCAAGTCCCACCCTGCCCCTCTCCCTCCCTCCTGCTAGATTTATAGGACCCTCCAACTGGTCAGCAGGCCACGTAGTCCCCACCAATCAGCTTGAAGCCCCTTAAATTGGGCAGGAGGGGAGGGAGAGGGGTGGCCAGGTGGGTGGTCACTCTTGGGGGAAGGGCTTGGGGGTGAGACTTCCCCACCGACCAGCTGGCCAGGGAACCTCTGCCTGGATCTGGGGGCTGGCAACCCTATACCAAATACTTCATGTGATATGCAGAGTTCATACTTGTCTTGGCATAGGGTAGATAACAAAGAGTGTATAGTCTTGTATATTATTGTTTAGGTGTTTTATTTTGCAGTTTTGTGTGGTAATTCATCCATTGTAAACAGTGTTGAGTTTGTGAGAGAGGAATCCAAATTTTATTGAGAAAACAGGAAAGAATTGTCAGTTCAAAACAAAGAGATTGGGAACCTGGAGGGTATTTAATTTTCTAAATATAATGCAGCACACATTCAACCATGTTCTAATCAGCTGCTATTTATCTTTGTTTCGCTCAAATTATTATGTGGCTGGCTGGATTAGGGCGGCCAAATGCCCCCGGGGGGCGGAATTCCCCCCGGTTTCGAGCCCCGATTCCCGCTCCCGCGATTCCCGCTCCCGCGGAACCCCACCCCCGCATCCGCGTCACCCAGAAGTGATGTTGGACGCTGGGGGCGGAGCCACGCCATTTGAGGGGAAAACAAAGAGTTTTCCCCTCAAATGGCGTGGCTCCGCCCCCAGCGTGTGACGTCACTTCCGGGTGATGCGGACGCGGCGCACGCGCACGAAGAGGACGCCGGCCGGGAGCCCCCCGCTCCCGGCCAATTTCAATTTGGCAATCCTAGGCTGTATCTTTCTATCATATTTTTGAGAAGAAATATATTTCTTATTCAGAAAGCCTTGAAATGTTTAGGGGGAAAATGATGTTAGGAAAAGCACTGATGAATGGTGTAGATTAATGGGCTTTTCAGTCAGTCAAGTACAAATATGTCCAGAACTCTTTTCAGACAATCGGGCTAATGTGGATGATAACAGATGGTCTAGCCTACAATAAACCAAGACGTGGCCTGCACCAGTACTGGATTCCACTGTCCCATTAGGGTTTCCAACCTCCAGATGGCCTGAAGATCTCAGGGGATTACAGATGATCTCCAGATCACAGAGATGAATTCTCCTGGAGAATATGGGTAGTGTGTCTGTGGCCTTGTACCCCACTGAGGTCCCTCCTTTCTCAAAACCCAGCTTTCCCTAAGATCCACCCTTAAATCTCCAGGAATTTCCCAACTCATGGTTGGGAAATACCTGAAGATTTGGAGGGGGGGTGGAGCCTGGGGAGGGGGAGGTTCGGGGAGGGACCTCAGCAGAGTGTAACACAACAGAGTCCACCCAACAAATCAGCCATTTTCTCCAGGGGAACTGATCTCTGAAGATAGTTGTAATTCCAGGAGATCTCTAGGCTCCACCCAGAGGTTGGCAAGCCAAGTTATAAACCTCAACAGAACTCAGGGGAGTGCAGGCCACAAAGCAAGTTATTTGTTTTTTCTTTACCTCTTCTGAATTTTATTTGGATCTTGGAGATAGTTGCTTTGATTAATTTTTTATAGCTAAGCATAACACTAGTGTCCATCATTATTGTGCTGTTCTACTAGTGAAGCACGGGAGATAAGAGTTTTGCCCAGAGATTAAGACCACACCAGATTCTTTAAC